GGCCGCATCCGGCCCCCGGGCCGCAGGTTGCCTACCCCTGATATAGTCAGTGCTACTGGCAATCTTTTGTCCAAATATACACTATCCATTGGGTAAAATTGCCCCCCCCCCGAAAACTTGCTGCTGACCAGTGGCTAGCACTTTGCAGGCTGGCACCAGTCCATCGATTGCCACTTTGAGCAGTATTAATATAGTCCAGCCCCTTGCCAGGGCAGGGATGGTATTTGCATTGCCCAATGAATGCTAGATGTGCAGCCCTGAAGGATTCATATGTTTGTCTTTTGTAAACTGCTAGTTTAGTGGTTCATTAAAGCTGGTATCCAACTCCACTTTTTAATTTTAACCAGTAAGAATCATTGTGTAGTTGTTCCAGTGTTGCATGTACTCAGAGAGACCAGGGTTCATATCTCTGCTGCTGAGCTGTAGAAATCCACTGTGTGACCTTGGGCAAGTCAACACACTCCCAGCCTTAGAAGAATGCAATGGCAAACCTCTTCTGAAGAAATCCTGCCAGGAAAACCCTGAGACATGGTTGCTTTAGGGTTGCCATAAGTTAGAAGCAACAAGAAAGAATCACAATTTTGTTGGGGTTTAAGCCTTGTTTTTCTCATGTTCAGACCAAATCCTCAGGCTGATATGTAGTGTGGATTTATTATAACTGATTTTGGTAATGTGGGATACTTGTTAACTGCTGTCAAGTCAGCTTCAGCTTATGGCAAACCTATGAATGGGAGACCTCCAAGTCACCAAGTCACCTTCTCATCAACTGCCTTGGTCAGGTCTTCCAGACTGATAGAAATGGCTTCCCTGATTAAATTTATCCATCTGGAATGTGGTCTTCCTCTTTTCCGAATTATTTTTATCTTGCCAAACATTACTGTCTTTTCTAGTGGGTCACATTTTCTCATGATAGGTATAGTATACTTTATGTGGGATACTAGTATATGTGGTCTACTAGACTAGTGGAAATAAAGTTGTTGAACCTTAATGTCCAAATTGCAAGCCCATGCTTTGGTGACCATATGGTGAGCTGTGAATTGGATGCATGAATAAAATGATATCCTGGTTTTGGTTATTGTTGTTTTTGAGCCTCCATATTGTGAATGTTAGTTTTAGAGACCCAATCTAATGTGGTTCATATCCGTAACTTGACAGTGTAAGTTAAAACATTATACAATAGGGCTATTAATGAAAACTGATCTCATGAGTTCTGACATTTAGGGTACAAAAGAAATCGATTGAAATAGTTCTTGTGTGGGCACTGGAAGCTTGCTCCTGCCGTGTTTGCTATCGAGGCGTTGCAATGCCAAGCTATAGTATGAGGTTTTGAAAGTGAAATTGACTGGAAATGAAAGCTGACCTATTAATTTTATTGTCCAGGCTGACTGCAAAAAGTAAATGGCACAAAGGAAATTAAAGTGGATGTTCTTTTTCCAGGAGCGTGGGTTAAAAACAAACAAAAAAAGAGAACATATTGAACAACAGACATTTTATTTTCCTATGTTTACTCAAAATTTTAAGATAAAAGAACTTGCTGTCCATTTGCTTGGATTTTTTGGTGGCATTAAAGAAATATATTTGCTATAAAGGGTCACAGTGAAAGCCTCTCATGTTCTGGAGTCCTATGGCTGATACACTTTTCACTAAAATTTGATGAAGATTAAAAATCATTGATAGAATAAATGTCACTGTGCCCTTAAAATGGGCCAAGTACTTTTGACATTTTGCCTCGCTTAGCATATTGTTTATTTAGTTAATTAATTAATTAATTAATTATACTCATTAGAAAGTGTAATAGGTTCATTTCCTGAGTGGAATCATTTTAAATGATTTCAGAGAGTTCAGATTGTTCATGTTGGAAGTAATGTTTGAAAAGAGAGAAGGGAATCATATAGTTGAATGGGGAGATTGCTTATATGGTACAATGTATGAGTTGCCTATTTTGTGTATAGTGCGCCTTTGGTATCCACTGGGGTTTGCTCCAGTGCACCCCCATGGATACCCAAATCTGTGGCTGCTCAAGTCCCATTAAGTCCCATCAGTGGTGAAGTAAAATGGTTTCCCTTATATAAAATGGCAAAATCAAAGTTTGCATTTTGGAATTTATATTTAAAGAATATTTTCAAGCCATGGATAAAAAATCCATGGATGCAGAGGGCTGACTGTATAATGTTGTGGTAGTTGGCCATTCTGGGGTGTGTGCCATGAGTCAAGTCACCTGTGCTGTCCAGAACAGTACCTACACTTCTTGCCAGCTTAACTGCCTCAAAATGGCTTAGTAAACTTGAGAGCTGGTAGTAGTGCAGCCTGTGGCAGGTGCTATTAACTAAGCCCATGTGCTCTCATGTCCCCAGATATTCCGCTACCATTTTTTGCCTAGGCCATGTTAGACTTCATCCTTCAGGTTGGCTACCAGTGATATATTTGAACACTTTATTATATCACTGATTCAGTCTAGGGGCATACAATATGGGGTATATGACATCATTGTACAGATATATATGTAGGGGTACAAATGCCAGCTTCACTTCCTGGCCCTGCCTCTGTTCCTCCTTGCCACTAATATCCACAGAGGACTTTAGCGAAAAGATGGTCCTTTTCCCCTGAAGGACACTTTGCAGCAGAACAGAAAAATAACTTCCCCCACCACTTTTATCATTTTCTGAACTTAATAAAGGGTGAAGAGACATTGCTTCTTCTTTTAGCGAGCATGGAAAATTTGAGGAAAGTTTGGAGACACAACCTGACATGCAAAAAGCTCTGGCAATAGGAAGAAATATACTGGTAGGCTTTTCTTCAACTGCCTTCTTCTTTTTCCTTCTCTAAAGTTCCCTGTAAGTTGGGCAAGACTAACTTTCTGTCTTCAGCTGTCTAACCAAAGTGGAAGACTTGAGGGAGGGATGTGGTCATGCCTTGTTTTTCCTTCCTGTTGACAGTGCTTCTTGGAAGTTTGGTTAAATATTGGGAACAGGCAAAAGGAAGTTCTTTTTAACAGAGTTCAATCTGTCTTAGGGTATTTGTAGTTAATGAGATGTGGTGATGGGCAGTATCCACGGTATCTACATCCTCTGTATCCACAGATTCTACATCCATGGAGTCAACCATCCACTGGTTAGAATATATATATATATATTTCCAAAAAGCAAACCTTGATTTTTTTTCATTTTATAGAAGGGATGCCATTTCATTATGCTACTGTATACAGTTGTCCCTCCATTTTCGCGGACCTGGTGTCTGTGTCTCTTGCCCGTTTGCTGGCAGCAAACGGAGGGGAACCAAATGGAGCACCCATGGGCGTGCACCACCATTCAAGCCTATGGATCTTGAATATTTGCAATTTTCCGTTTTGGCGTGGAGTGTGTGTCTGGAATGGATCCCCTGTGAAAATGGAGGGGTGGCTGTATGATGGGACATTAGGATCCATGGATTTTTGTATCTATGGGGGGGCAGAACCAACTTCAGCGGATACCACAGGCCCACTGTATATGGCTTTAAATATGGATGAGGCAACTTCATTGGGGATAAGGCTACTAGTAGCTTTTAGTCATGATGGCAATACTTTACTTTCAGTAGAATTAGAGGCATAATAAAATGGCATCCCTTTTATAAAATGAAAAAAAAATTAAGGTTTGCTTTTTGGAAAGGCACCAGATCCTGTTTGATCTCAGAAGCTAGTAGTTGGATGGGAGACCACCAGTGAATACCAGTTGTTGTAGGCTATATTTCATTGGAAGGAACTGTCAAAACCATCTCTGAGGATTCCTTGCAAAGAAAAATCTATGAAATTCATGGGGCTGCCATAGGTCGACAGGTGACTTGAAGACACATATACACACACACACACATGCCTTTCAATGCCAGTTTCTTTGGAACTTAAGTGGTAATCCCGAGTTGAGTGCAGACTTCCCAGGAGTGCTGGACTAGGTGGTCCTTTGGTTTTATCTATTAAGGCTTTCCTTATGTTCCTAGTGGCTCTAAAAGGTAATCAGGAACATTATGGGGAGGGGGGTTCATTAGGCATAAATGTCATCCAGATGGAGAAAATGTGTTGGAGAAAATGTGATGGAGGTTGTGATATTTGCTACTGTGATTCTTGGATTTTTAAAAGATACCCAAATGGTGTTTCTGTTGTTCTGGACTACTTTCTGCCAATTCTGGGTACTGGCTTTAACATTTTATTCCCACCTTCAAGTGAGTTTCTTTGTGATTCCAAGACATTGGAGTTTGATGATTTTCAAACCATGGATGGCTGAATCCATGAATAAGGAATCCGTGGATATCGAGGGTGGCTGAGTGTATCTCACAAAAGTATAAGTCCCAGAATTCCATGGCACTGATTCATGGTAGTTAAAGTGGTGTTAATTTGCATTATTTCTGCAAAGCAGATTAAAGCAAATATATATATTTCCAAAAATTAAACCTTAATTTTGTCATTTTACATATGG